ATGAAGAATTCTTCTAATTTGTGAGACTGAGGTTATCAGAAGCTAGGACTAGGATGTCAGTACTCTCTGAAAACTGTGAGTAGAGATGCAAATTCATTTCAGGTTCTAAGAACAAAATAAAATACTTCAACTTTTACAAAGCAAAATGTAAAAATGTTTTTACTGGAGTCTCACAAAATGGATACTTCAAGAAATGAACTGATGGTTTAAACGCCAAAGAGGTGAAATGCGATTTCGTTTGGATTTATGACTGTGATCTCATTAGGCTGAATTATATGTTTAAAAGTTGTGAAATTAGTCAACTCAAATACAGTTGCGGCAGAGCTCATGTTTCTGTAGCAACTCGTGGATAAGTGTCAGTTTCTAATATATTTTTAATTAAAAATCTGATTGGGATTTGTTATTGCCTCTAATTAATCTCCTTCAATGAAATGTAGTTCTCTGCTCATTATCTGCCTGTTTTTCTTCTTGCAGCTTTTTCTCGCCCCAGCAAGTCTCAGGAGCTTGGGTTATTAGTCCCTGTTTGACTGCACTAAGTAAACCGAAGGGAGAGGAAGAGGGCGAAAGCTGACTCCACAGCACGTACATGAGGCTGAGGATTTCACAAGGAGCCAGCGGTCCCTCTGGCAGCAGTCAGACATACTTCTCCTTCAACCCCTGGCCTCTCTCTGCGTCAGAACCAAAGCAGAGTAGGAACTGCCAGACTTAATCTAGTCTTTTGCAAGATTCTTTGCACGAGATCTGTGAAAAGCTATTTCCTCCCCCCTTTTTCTTTGGATGCTGTGAAACTACATTACTCATGTTTATTGTCCCCTCATGTCCCAATAGCAGCTAGTTTGGTCATTCAAGACCTCTGAAGCCAATTCCTACGTGGCCTCCTAGTCTATTGACTCAGGCTGAAGTTCAAACTACTGGCATTTATGAACTGTAATGTGCTTACTGTGTGCAGGTACCACTGAGAAAGCCTTTTTATGGTGTCAGCTACTGCTGCAGTGTCAGGCTACAGCAGCCACAAGGTTGCTTATAATCCCAAGGCTCTGTAAAAGGGTAAAGGTACCTGAGTACTATCAATCTGTGTTGCTTATGAAGTAGTGGACAGCTCTTCATGCCTGGTGTGTGGGGACCATATGGGTTATATGGCAACCATATGGGGATGCTAGGCAGCACTGGGGATCGTGGCTAAGATCCACTCTGTCTAGTCCAGGCAAAGGGTGAATCGCTTTTCTTACTTGGACGAATTTCCTATATGCAAAATGGCTTTCAAAGTCTTCAGGAAAAGACTGTAACTATATAAATCAAGCATCTAAACTTGGTGCTCCCCTCTATAGGTGTTCAAAAGCCTTCCTCTAGTGCAGTGCTGTTGGTATCCTTTAAAGCTGCATATTCTCCAAGTCCATCCCGCAGCATTTTAAGGGGGGACTATGCCATGAATGAAGCTCTTCAATGCTACCTTCCCAGGCTCAAACACGCCTGCAGCACTCGTGTAGCAAAGCTCATGTTCCCAATGGAGGGTATGACTGAGCACTCGTACTATTACCCCGATTAAAATGCAAATAAGCATTTAGATTGTTTATGGGTCTCAAACTTTAATCACTGACCCACTTCAACAAATAAGGGATGCAATCATGCTCCATGTAAGGATAGAGAATATGTCTTTTTTCACCACTCACTTGAGCAGAAGGCTCTTGAATGTCATGTTTTATGCTTGCTCGGAATATAAATGAGTTATCTGAAGCTTTACATCTGTAAGCTTGAGGAAAATTGGTCATGCTGTTTTATGCATATACTCCCTTATTTTCTCTCAGATAATTTAAAATACAAGGGAAAAATACATACTTAATGTATAATCTGTTTGCATATATTTCAAAGGCCAACAGAATGAAAATAAAATGAGGGGCTTTACTGAGACATCTACAGAGCAATCCAGTAGCACCACCTGCTGTTTATGTGAAACATTACTCTCTCTATATATGTATACACACACACAGTAAATACGTTTATAAACTCTGTAGATATATATATTCTATGTATATATATATATAGATATATGCACACACGCAGAGAATTCCTCTACCTATTTCATAGCACCTATAAAGTTGAATCTCTTTTAGAAGGGATGAGACGTGGGCTTCTAAATTTCTTTTATGCTTTCAGATATACTATTCTAAGGGTTCTGTGGTTCTGTGCAGAGAAGGTGGGTATTAAAGCAGCGATTAACATTCTGCACCGTGTCTCATAATGCTTAATAGTGCCAAGAGGTGTTGTGGAAGTAAGTCTGCTCGATGTCCTATTTGTTGAAAGTATTTGGGCAAAATCTCCAGTCTCCACTGAAGCAGCAAGTGGTCTGGCAAATTAGAAGATCATTATGCTGATTTCATTGGAGGAGAAAATAGAGCAGTAATTTTTTTTAGATTATTTAGCGTGAATAAAGCTCTGAAGCATTTCCTGAGATACAGTGGAGCTTGCAGACATGTAAATCAGCTTGTGATAGAAAGTCATAAAATTCTCTGGGAAATGAGCAAAGAAAAATACGTGCTGGTATTTCATGCGTGTCCAGCACTTTGCTGAGTTTTCTCTGTAGCTCTGGACTTTGCCAGACGTGTCATTCTGATCCTAAGGAAGGAGCTGCGCCTGCTGTAACAGGGGGAGATGCCACACAGCAAAACCCAGGAGTGCAGGACAGATCCTGGATGCTTAGCTTGATAAAAAGAGAAAATGTACTGTATGTGTTCCAGCATTCAGAATGAGTTAAATGAAACTTCATAGTCAACCTTGCAAAGAAGAGGAAAAGCAAATGGAAATGGGTATCAGTTTGTTCCAAAACAGATAAAATGGGTGAAATTTAAATGATCCATGTAGAAGCTACTTGGGAGAATCCTCTACAGTAGCCAGGGAAATGAAATACAACTGAAAATAGAGAAGCTGAATTAGGAAAACAGCTGACATCAGTTGAATGTGGAGAGTATTTAAATGATTAAGGAGAAAGAAAATCAAAAACTAGAAAAAAATACAAATGCAAAAATAGAATAAAAAAGAAAAATAACTACATTCAAGGTAAACTTTCACAAAATGTGAGGAAAATAACTCGATGTGCTAATTTGATGCTGTGTGGCAATGCTGCAAGAGCAGTTTGTGGATTGGATCTCCATGAGTAACGGAGCATTTCTGAGAGTCGATACAATTTTGTGAAAGAAAATTGTGTGCCAGGGCCATACAGATTCGTGATCTCTCTGAGACCACCGCACAGGGGCAAGGTGAGGCAATCTTTAACATAGGGTTTTTTTCCTTCCTCATAATGATCTGCCCGAGTAATTCAGCTTTCAGATGCCCCTTAAAGGCACTGCAGGCCTTTCAAGTGTACACCAGTCCCAAATCCCCTCTATATAGGAGGGATTCTAGGTTCTAGGGATTCTAGATTTTATGCTCTATTCTAGGAGGGAAGTCTTTTGAGTTGGTGACATGCTTGTATTGAGGTTTTCTGATATATATGCCCGAATCTCTAGTAAAGAAAACTGAACACCTCTCCCACCAAGATTAAAGACACCTATATAACAAATAATGTTCTCAGCATTAATACTGTGAATTACCAGTAAAATAATATATTTCATGACTTTAAATATCACTGAAAAAGTATTTTCTTAAAGAACAGACAAGCAACTTTGCGTGGGCAGCTGCTTCAAGTGTTGCTAGGGGCATTATGTAGGTGAATTAAAGCTAATGGATTTCAAAAACTCTGATGTAGTATCTTAATTCTCAGTGCCGTTTGAGACCTGCCTGAAACTTTTGAACTGGGCCGGCAAGTCTTAAAATACATAATGTTAGCAGGTTCATAAAGGCACATTCATGAAGCTCCTAAAATTGTCAAGTCATGTAGCAATCCCATTTGGTATTTTGTAGATTGTTTAGAAAGATCCCTTGCTTTGTAAGAACTACAAAATACACTATTCAAGTCGGCCAACCTACACAAGACAGGACCTGGTGTAACCACAATGGTTCAGAGCCTACAGGAACACTCCTTGCGTGACAGGAACTGGACCCTGAAGAGTTTTCACACATGGGTCATGGAGTCCAAGCAAGGAGTTCATCACAACTGACCTCTTCTTTGGGAATTTTTCTAATCACATCCTATGCCTATGGACTAAGTAAGTTTAACCATTGGAAGGTATTTCTTGAGGTCAAAAAGAGCCCAGGAAGATAGTTTCTAAATTCAGAACAAGACCTACTCTTGTGTCATGTACTTCAGTAGACCAAGTACCAGACAGCTACTCTATGATTCTACAATTCTCAAAAATTCTCTGTAATTTTTTTTCTTATCTAGTTGGAAGTGAACCTGGCAATCAGTGTTGCTTGATCTCAATCCCTTATCAAGAAGTGTCACAGAAGAGTTGATGGACAGTACCTAAGGGGGACTCCAAAGAAACCCATTTACTCCATATACTAAGCTTGAGGAGTAAAACAAGATACAAACAAGTTCCTCCAGTAATCTACTTGCTCTAAAGCAAGATGTAAATAGAAGGGGGTAGATGTAGACACTGTGAGCACAAGTGCTTAACCCCATCACTTCATTTCCCTCAAAATTAATTGTCAGTATCCTTCTAATCTTCCCAGCCTAGTGACATCCTGGGCACTAGAAACAGTTAATAAAACTGGTGTAAGGAGGAAGATTTCCAACCTCATAATTCTGTTTCTTCAACAGTAAACTACAGAGACTAGCAAGGCAGATTTTTTTACTTTTACAGATAATTTACTCTGCAAAGGCTTTTTTTTCAACATACTATCATGGGGAGATGCACTGCCCAGGAAAAGTTGTTTAAGAATCAAACACACTTTTCAGCAGCTAGTGCTCCTTGTTAGAACCTTTCCTTTTTCATACCAGCCAAAATAACACTGTTGAAGATAGATCTTGCCATTTCAGCTTCATATTCCATCATTCTGAAGACAAGGAATAGACCTGTACATTGTAAGATTCAGTAATACAAAAAAATACTCTTTATTGTAAACAGACACATCTTTTATTACAGAAACAACTGCAGTAATATCGAAGTATACAAAAAAAGGAACCAGAATGAATGCTAAAAAATAACTAAGAAGCAATTGTGTCCTCACGGGACACACACCTCCTCACTCATTTGAGACCATTAGGATAATTCAATTTTACAATTGTTTTATAATCATTCACCCTACACAGTTATGCTATTCCTTCTGCTGCTGCACTGTGTGCTAGGCTCACATCTTTCAGGAAGTCTGTACCTGGAAATGCTTATTTTTATTTATCCATTTTATATACTGTAAACAAAACTTCGGCAGTTTTTTTTAAACTTTCCTTGCAGATTAAGTTTTAAGGACAACATTTTACCACCTAGCTTCGGCAGTGGTTGATTTTTAAGAATACCTGCTGTTCACACAAATTGCATCAGATTCTTAAAACATCATCACTGAAACAAAAGTTAACTTGTACAAAAGAGAAATCAGAGACTAAAAAAAGTATTTTAGGACAATAATTTAAAGCCTTTACTGTATCATAGTGACTTCAAGTGTTGTGAAACAGTTTTCTACTATCTTGAGCTTTTCTTCGGAAAGCAGGTTTTCTGGCTTCAGTTGTCCAATAAGAGCTTCCAGGGATCCGAGTCTTCCCAAAGTTTCTGTCTCCTGCATTTCCAGCAAACTTACCTTAGAGTGGAGTTTCGAAATTTTTTGCCAAAGGTGATCTCTGTCTAGGTCTTGTTTGCAGTACGAGTGTTCAGTTTGCAACACTTCAATCCCACTACATGCATTCATTAATGTAGATTTTTCTGTTCCTATTTCTGTTTGTTCCATGTCAAGAAAATCCTGCTTAATGGGCCCGAAAGAGCCATTTGGTATTTCAGGCTCTTCAGGACTCTCAGCTGGTACAATGATAGCAATGACAGATTCTTCACTTCCATTAAACTGTTCAATAGTTTGTGCGACTGTACTGACTAAAATGGCATTGTCACTTGCTGGCTGTACTTCCACAGAGCAGCCTGCAAGATGACAGTTAGCATTTTCAATTGGATAGGCAGTAATTGAACCTAAAGCACCTTTCAATATCGTAGGTGAATTCAAGTACTCGGAGTCTGCAAGTTGCAAGACTGTAGCTGTACAACTTACTGGATTTTCTACAGAATCATGAACACTGGTAGATTCCATGTTCTGCACTGCTGCTGTCATTAAAATGTGTGTAGACTGATTTATGGGCTGTTTAGATGAATTATGAAGAATCAGGCTGTCTGCTTGAAAGTCTTCTCTGTTTTGAAGTTGTAGTTTTTCCATTTGCAGAGGTTTACTCAGTGCAGTTGAGCAAACTACTTCTGCTTTTTCATCTGTATTTTCTGCAACTCCAAGATTTTTCTTTGGTGTACAAGGTTCAAGCGATACAGATACTTTATCTGACTCTGCATTTGCACTTGTTTCTTCCTGATCTCTCTGCAGCTCTTGTGGTTTGTGCTTAGAAGAGTCTTTTTCCTATAGGGGGGAGAAAAAAAAAGGAAAAAAAAAGGGTACAACCCTCATTCTATCATTCTATGGAATAACTAATGACATAACTGTCTCCTAAACCTTCATTACGACCTTTTTTAGAGGTCCCATATGCTCAAACACTATTCAGAGGCTCTAAAGACAGTAGTACTATCTTTCTCTTTTTCAGGCTCAGTGTATTGATTACTTCTTAGATTGAAATGAGTCACAATTATTTTAAAAACAGTGAAGAGAAGCAGCTGTTCAAATTTGCGCAACTGGGTATCATCTCTTATTATAGCTTGAAACACTGTACAAATATAGCACATAAGAATGTGATTATGTGTATGATCATGTGCATCATATATGCAGAATTTTATATTTGGGCTTTTTTTTTGAGAAATTCATCAAAATTAACTTTTCATTCCAGATAGTCACAAGCAGTCTGATATAGAGCTTTATGACTAAAAATATTTTGTTAAATTAATGAGTCACAAATTTCAGATTCAGCAATCAGTCACTTCAGTCCTTGCATTTCTTCCACCTCCAACATTGTTCTCCTGGTGGTCAAGTGGAAGATAGTTACGTGCCACCAGAGAATTGTCCTAGTTTTGACGAAAATTAGGTGCTCGCATTGAACAGTGCTTCTACATACCCAGTTGCAAAATTCTGTGCAAAACAAGGCAGAATATTCTTCTTGGCACACCCATTGCGGCCTACACTGCAGAGCACTTAGCTATTAAAGAGGTTTGGGGCCAAAAAAGAGAAACATGGTGTGAATCCAAAACATTCCATATCCAGTGTTTAGGTACAGTTAATAGAAGCCTTAAAAGAATATTAGGTTATTAATTAAGAATAATTCCCCTGTGTAGCTGCACAGGTGAAAAAAAAAATATGTGGAATGATAATATTCTCACACGAAATAAACTTAGAGAAATGCTTCTGTAATTACCAGTTTAAAAGAAAAGCTGAACCTTCCATTAAATAATGGAAAGTTGCTCTTCCTTCTCACTGTCTATTCACTATACAATTATATATTCATTTTGTGTCAATCCTGCTGACAAAATATTTTGATGGACCAGATTTCTATTTTAAAAATAACATATGACTATATTACAGTTAAATGAACGGCTCTATTGCATAAATAGCTGGTTAGCTTTATCCTACAATAAAACTAATAATAAAAAACATAAATCAACACCCTCCCTGCCTCCAAATTACCTCATCCCCTGGGGCAGGGAAAATGGTTGGGACAGCGGTGTGCTTCAGGTACCGAATGCCCCAGCGCACCTCCAGGGAGTCGGGCGTGAAGTGATCGCTGCACAGAAGCTGGTGCTTACTGGGCATCCACGCGTCTCGCTTCATATTCCGCAGCCATTTCTCCAGCCTCTCTTTATCGTGAAGGGGAAACCTAGTTTAAAACAGTCGGGGAAAAAACAAAGACAATATCAGGTTTAATTATGTTTTCTTAAATAAAGATTTATATATTTATTTATCTAAATAAATAAAGGTCTTCCATACAAGGATCCTTACAAAAGGAATCTCAAACAAGCCACGATAAGGCTGAGAGAGCTGGGCCTGTTCAGCTCGAAGAAGAGAAGGCTGAGGGGGGACCTGATCAGTGTCTATAAATACCTCAAGGGAGGCAGTGAGGAGGATGGGTCGATTTCTTTTCAGTGGCGGCCAGTGACAGGACTAGAGGAAATGGCCACAAACTGAGGCGCCAAAAGTTCCACAGGAACTTAAGGAAAAATTTCTTGACAGTGAGGGTGACAGAGCCCTGGAACAGGCTGCCCAGGGAGGTTGTGGAGTCTCCAAACCTGCTTGGGCGCAGCTCTGTGCCCCGTGCTCCAGGAGACCCTCTGTGTGCAGGGGGTTGGATTAGTTGACCTCTAGAGGTCCCTTCCAACCTCAAGAATTCTATGACAACATTTATGGGCCTGCAGCGCACACCGTTTGGGTTTGTTCTGGCATCTCCTCACACCGGGCAGCTGTGGTGAATGCCTAGCACGTGCAGGAGCCCCGTGGTGCCTGGATCCCCCCGCTGGCATATGGTGAACCCCAAATCTCATCCCCAGCCCCCTCCTGCTGCAGCTCTGCTCCAGACACCTGCGCGTCTGGAGCAGTGACATCCAAACTGCAAAGTGGGATGGTGACTCCTCAAATTCACAGGTAAACGTGCATTCCTTTCTTTCTCCTTCACCTATCTTCTAATTTTTTTTTCCATTTAAACTTTCAAGTACTAAGGAAAGAGACCAAACATTTGATGCAACATGCTCTGCGTCTACATAGGAATGAAAAAAAAAAACACTGGAGAGAACAAGATAACCTGTCAAGAACAGGTTAGGAGCTCAGTCTTTTCAAATCCTGCCTACTTAGACAGTGTGCACCCAATAGCAGCTTTCCAAGTACTACACAGCACGTCCCATGAACAGCCCAGCACGTCCCATGACCAGCCGAGCTCAGCGTGGGATGTTACGATATTGCTCTGAAGGGAGCACCCAGTGAGAGGGCAGGTTCTTACAAACTGGCAGCAACTGCACCCTCCTCTTCAAGAAAGCCTTGAGTGCATTTGCTTCCATTGCCATTATCCCTGTGACACGGCTCTCACTGCCTTCACCTCAGTCAGTCTGCTTCAGTGCACGGGAAACACAAATCTGAGGTGAGAAAAATGCCTGGTAGCCAAATTCTTTATTTTAGATAAAGAGCGTGTTCACCAAAACCTGCTTCTGGTCTCCTATGATCATTACAGTCTGGCCTTATTGATCATTACAGTCTGTTCTCTGTTGTTAAGCAGGTAAAACAAAAAATGGAAAGAAGGGCTATATAGAATTTACACTCACAGAAGTCAGAGATGAATAAATATAGGGAAGAAGGGCAGTTAGACCGTCTGAAAGTAGGACACAGGGAATGAAGTCAAGGAGTTGGACCCAAGACCACAGCACAGTAGAGGATTTCTTTGTGATGTTAAGAAGCGAGGGAAGATATCGCTGGATTTTGTATCAGTAGCCACTGTTCATGGAGGGCTAACATTCTCTGCAAAGCCAGTTTTAGCACCCCCTCCACAGGACTGCATTACTAGGTGCACAGCACAAATCTAGGCTAGATAAGACAGCTTACCTAAGGATGATTTTTGAAATCATCCTTACACTAATGCCATGCATTTGAATACAAGAATGTATCAGCACTGAAACATCTTCTGATCACTTCTATGGTGCGAGTGTTTTCTAAAGTACTACAAAAAATTCATTTCTCATTTTCATTATTGTTTTATGTTTATCACATATACTCCTAGGTCACATATGGCAGACATCTTCATAATGGGGTATGAGTTTTCCTTCCATCTAAACTGAACTGAAATCCCTTTCAAAGCAATGGTCTTTCCACAGTCTTCCTAATCTGGGAACAGCAATTACTATTCAGCCCAAAACTAAGCTGAAATAAACCTGCAGCTTGGTTTACAGCAAAAGTTTTACCAAAATGGCTTTTTGCCTTGGAGCTCGATAGTGAAGTTTATTCCTCAAATGCTTCTTAAATGCTAAGAAATTCTTTTATTCGGTGGAAAAGCCTCAAGATTTTTAGCAACAAACCTAGTTAGCTGGTGACTAGGTCTAAGTCTTCCCTAAAAAACAGCAGTGCTTCCCCCAGCGGTGAATGCAGGACATTAACTGAAGTGGGTACTTTATTGTTTTGGAAAGTCAGTGTCTTATTTACTTCTGCAGTCTGTTTTTTTTGGCCTTTGTTGGTCTCTCAGATGGAGGAACCGCACTCAGCTCCTCCACCACCAAGCAGAGCGGCTGGTCTGGCTGAAACACCTCCCCGCAGAGGCAGCCAGGTTCGCAATAACAAAAAATAAAATAAAAACAGGTTAATCATGACCTTTGCGCTCCTTCTTTCCCCAAATACCTGCGCCTCCCTCCAGCCACGCACTCCGCGGGTCTGCCCAATCCTCGCCCACCAAAAAGTTAAGATTTTCTGACGTAACTGTCCCCATTTTCCCACAAAACTGAAGCCTTTCGCCCTCCCCGGCGCCTGAGGGGCCGCATTCCCGTCGGGGCTGCCCCCCGTCCCCCGGGCCCCGGAGATGGCGTCCGCCATCTCCGGGGCCCGGGGGACGGGGGGCAGCCCCGACCAAGGCCTTTCCCCGCCCCCGTCCCCATGCCGGTCCCTCACGGGTAAAAGCTGATCTTGCGCCGGTCCCGGGCGCTTTGCCCGCCGCGGTTCTTGCAGCAGGAGGCCGCGCAGTAGCGCGGCATGGCGGAGCGGAACGGCCGCAGGGCGGAACCTCTGGAGGGCGGAGGCGCGAGAAGGAGGGCGGGACTCGCGGGGACACGCGGTGGCGGCCGCCCGCCCACCCCAGCGGTGACGTTGCGCGCGCGCGGCGGCAACAACAGCGGCCCGCGTGCGCCGCGTCACGTGGGCGCCGGCAGCCAATGGGGCAGCGCTTCGTGTAGGAACGGCCGTTGGCCGCGACCGTTGGGAGGGCGCGGCGCGCGCGGGGCGCTCGGGGGCGACGGTGGCGGCGGCGGCGGGACGGGTAAGCGGCTGGGGGGCCTTCGGGAGGCCCAGGGCGCTGAGACGGCTGGGGACGGGGCGGGGAGAACCCAGGAATTGGGGAGGAAGCCCTGGGGTGCCCCACAGGTGGGTTCAACTGCCCTTGGGTGGCTCTGGCCTCTCCTCTCCCTCGGCCCTTCCACGGTGTCCCCTAGCCGGCGTGACAGCGTCGCCCAGCGCGTCCTGTGTCCCGTTCCTGCTCTGTTCCCTGCGGAATGCCGCTTCAGTGGGGCCGCTCGGGGTCTGGCGAAGGAAGGCTCGGTCTCGCTTCGCCGCTCTCGAAAGGGAGAAGCGGCACTTTTGCTAGTTTTACTTTCTGGTCTCTGAAGGGCAGGTCAGGGAAAGTACCAGCCCGATACTGGCTTTTCTGCAGCTATTTGTGGTAAAGGAGATTTGCTTAAGCATTGGGTTTTTATGTGAGAACCAGTGGAAAATTTGTATGTGTTAGTTGCTAATAATAAAATACCAGTGAAAAGCACGATGAGAAAGTCCCCATGTTTCCATTTGGCGGTGCATCTTACATGATCACAAGCGTGCTGCTGCTCTGGACTTTCGGAGGACGTGAACCCCTTGAGGGCAAGCCTTTGATGGAGGGCTTTGTGAGTGAGAGACTCACAAGAGGGCAGGAGCAGTGAGTGTGTCAGTGTGTCGGCACTGCAAGATGGAAGTAACTGCTTTTTTTTGTGTGACAGCTCTTCATCCACATATAGCTTGCTGTAGACCTCAATTTGTGGTGTTGTAATTGATATATTTTGGTAAACTGATTTAGAACTGATGAGAGGTAGTGTTATCACCCCCTTAATACTTCTGATAAAGATTAGGTAAAAGTGCTTTTTATACCAGGCCTTGTAATAGTTGCAGTCTGAATCTACTTCCCCAATAACACAGATTAATTAATCTGCTGTATCGAAATCTCCAGTTTTATTGCTAGATGAAGCCAAATAAAATGTGGACAGTAGATTTGTCTAGTATTCCTTAAAAATAATTGCTTTGAGGGGCAATTTTGTAGTATAAGCTTGATGTGTAGGTGTACATAGATCTTAGGAGTTCTGAAGCAGAAGATGTCATAAACAACCAGTGTGTAAAGTCTGGTAAGTGAAACCTTCCTGTCTCTTTCTGTTCTGGACGCTGAAGAAGAAAAGTTTGCAGAGCAAGTGAGTGCAGAGACTTTATTTTGAAAATGATTGTGGAAAGAGTTGAGAGTGGTGTCTGCATGGGAGACACCATGTCTGCATGCTGGCCTTTAGCATTTTAGTTGATAGTAGCAATACTAAGATACTTGCAGTAGTAAAATAGGTTTAAAAATCAGTAATTGATGATAGTGCCTAAGATAAATCAATAAAACTCAAAATATAGGAATGAAATGAAAATCAAATAAACTGAAATATAAAGGTTAAGGGCAGCCTTAAATGCGTCTGTGTTCTGAAGGCTTGTTTGTATAAATTTTGGCTGGTTTGATGGAGAGGTTTTCAGGAATTTCTTTTTAAAATGTGAATGTATCCATCCTTGTTTCTATCTGGTTTAGTTGAAAGTTCTTCGATACCAATTCATCAGAAATGCTTTGAAACTTCAGATGATAAAACTAGAGGCAGTAAAACATAGAATTGCATTCCCAGAAACCTACAGAGGTTAGGAAACTTAAGTATAATTAATTATTACAGTAACAGAAGTTGAAGCTTGGGCACAGCAGAAAACGTCGAAGGAATGATTATGTTTTCTGGTGCTATATCCCAGTCTTGAGAGTTACATGGAGGTTTTGGCTCTTAGTGAAGGAAATAAAAGTTGAAAAGATGCTCAGAAGAGTGTTATACAGTAGAATTACAGAGGTTAGCTATCTAGAGAAGGGAGCAGGTAATTATTTAAGCAAGACACAATCTCTGGTGTGAGTTTTAAGATGTAAATCTGTATCTGCAGAGTGCAAAGAGGAAGAAAGCAGAAAAAGAATGAAAGGTTCTGTGAGTGAGTAGTGCAAAAGTGGCAGTGATTGACATCAGTGAACTGTTGGGAGGGGCTCCGTGGAAAACTTGTACTAAAAATATTCTTGGAGTCATGCTAGAAGAATCCTGAAAAGAATTGTCTATTTGGTATCTAAATACACTGATCAAAATATGATTTGTTTCAACTGCAACTCCTTAACATTTGATATCGTGCAGGCTGTCAGCCAAACAAATGCTGAAGACGTGTTAATATTTTATGAGCTTTATGATCTGACGTCACAACATTGATTTTAACCTCTGACTTTTTCTTTGGAAGAGTGTTCTCTCTCTCTCTCTCTCTCTCTCTCTCTCTCTCTCTCTCTCTCTCTCTCTCTCTCTCTCTGTGTGTGTGTGTGTGTTTGAGTGTTAATTTTCTTATGGACTTTGGACTTTGTTATAGACTTTATAGAGGTTACGGACTTTCTGCTAGCGACACAGTCATCTCATTGTCATATACCAAAAGTGCTTTATATATAATGTTGATCAGAAAACAATGTTTGTTTATTCAATTTTCATGGAATGACTTAATCAGGAAATTATCATTATACTTTGTCTTAAATTTTTATCTATGTATCTATCTATACACTTCCTGAATTACTTTCAATAATTTCAAATCAGACTTGTCTGGTGCAGGTGGCATGTTACTTTAGGACATTGTCAGACACTGTGCTGTTAGGGTGATGGCCAGCGTTTTGTTTTTTAAACATTCATGTTTTTATACTTTATGTTTTCAAAATATCACTTCTAATATGTAGAGGCACTCAAACAGCACCTGATTTCCTCTCCCGATAAGAAGAACCCACTTTCTGTCTGTTGTATAAGTCATGAAAGATGGTGTGGCCTCATGGGGTTGATTTCCTAATGACTGTTTTTTGTCTTCAACTTTGACTTCAACCATCATCTTGTGTTAGCTGTAAAGGGAGCTGTTTCACTGTAAAAGGAGTTTAAATTTAACTCCCTTTTTATTAGCATTGTGTTTGTCAAATAGGTAAAAACTCTTAATTACATTGTTGATGCTAACTTTATCTTGTGTAGAAGACTTTCATTTTTTGAGTTCTATTTAGACATTGAGTTGCATTTGTAAACACTTATATACAGTGATACGTATTAGATATGTTCTTTGGTATAAAAGATGCAGGAAGATGTTTTTATTCAAAACACAATGTTATGAAAGTGTGTTCAGCCCAGCCCATTGTAAAAGGAAATATACGCTGCTTGACTGAACTCTTTAATTTAGTGTTTTTTTTTTGTTTTCACCTTGGGCCAATTAAAGGACCTTCTTAAGCTGAGTGTAGTAAGTCTTATTGCCCTACATCTTGCACTCAGTCTTTAGGCTTGTTATGCTTTCAGACTTACTGTTGCACAGATTAATGACTGACTTATTCACCTAGTATTTTGAATTGGTTTTGCAGCCTGCCGCCATCTTCATTTCAAGCTGACATGTCTGTGGTTGTTGAACTCAAGAGTTTAGTTTCAAGCTAGTTCAGATATGCCAGCATAAACTGTATTTGCTGCAGTGAATTGTATTGTGCGTTTACCTCAACAGCTAGAAACAGGACTGCAGGGAGAAATTACTGTGTAATACACTGAAGTGCACTTGTGATGGAGGTGAAACAGGAATTTGCAGAGTCTTAATTCTTTTCTTATTCAATAACTGTAAAACCAAGGGGGAGAGGTACATCAGCACACGTGAAACTCCACATGCTTTTATCCCTGCCACCAAGTGACTCCTAAACATAAAGATCTTCCACTCATAGCGTATGGTTGTGCTTTTTCTTTAAGCTACTGTGAAACTTAAAGATGTTGTTCTTCAAATATGTTTCTTTTTCTTTCTAGGAACCACAGGCATGGCCACTACGCAATCTGTCTTCACATTTGCTCTCTGTATTTTAATGATAACTGAACTAATACTGGCTACAGAGAGCTATTATGATATCTTGGGAGTTCCAAAAAATGCATCTGACCGTCAGATCAAGAAGGCATTTCACAAGCTCGCTATGAAATACCACCCAGACAAAAATAAGAGTCCTGGTGCAGAAGCAAAGTTTAGAGAAATAGCTGAAGGTAATACATGCTAACTGAGATGCAAATAAGTAGATTCCTAGTTTATATCTGTCAACAATACCATAGTTTAAATATATTGTGTTTTTTACTGGATGAAAGGTGAAGGGTATTTTTTTTTTCTGCCTTTGTGGTGTCAACTACACTGTCAATATGAGATTCATCTTTTGGTCCTTGTGCGCAGGGCAAGCCTTTCACATAGTTTAGGCATTCCTGTGTATTGGACTTTGCAGTTCAAGTCACTTATCATGGAAGTCCTTGGCAATAGACCAAAGTTTTTTCCT